GGTGGTTCGCCGAAGAGTCGATCGGATTCATTGGGCGCCGGATTTCTCGAATGGATCGCAAACAATGAGTTCATATCGAAAATGGCGGAAAAGGCGAAGAATTCGGTGGACACTATGATCACTACATTAGATCCGGGAATGAAACCAATCATATGTAACGGTGAATTTGAAGCTTGAAATGCATTTTGTTTGCACTAAAACTTGAGGCAATTGTTTCAGATTCTGGAGGAGATATCAATGTTATGGTGACGTCCGATAAGGAGTCGAAGATATCTCCGATCAGAGAGTCGTTTCAGCGGGTGTTCGGTCGGGCGACGGTCTCCGGCCATTCCGCGCAATCCCTGAGCATCGCTTCCCAACCCATCGGTTTTGACAACGGCTTCAGAGCAGCCAAAGAGCGCATCCAAACGCTACGAATGGACACGAGTTCTATCGCTCGGAATCAAGTGATTGTTTCCATTGAGAACTTCATTGTCGACATCAATGGCGATAAGTAATACCTTAATCGTTATGTTAAACTCAGTACAAGTGTTATATTAATGGTCTGCAAACTCTTCAGATGGTATGACGTCGGATGTCTTGTATTGGACGACCCGGTGATGGGAATAAACATCGAGGTCTACACCCAAATGACTCCAATACCCAACGAATGCGTTAATCAAATGCGATTCGAGACACCAACTGATTACCCGTTAAAGAGCACCGGTTATAGCGTTACTGTCGGCGCAGTTATGGCACAAAAACTGAACGTTTCTCCCGAAGAATGGCATCAATCGTGGGTTGGAATCAGCCGTAAGGATATCATACACCAGTCTGCCAACGCTTTGGCCAATCTTTATAAGAATCGTTTGTTGAGATAAAATTGTTTTATAACTAATTATTTATTTATATTTTAATCATTTGTTTTGCTATTCATTCAAAATATCTAAATATATGTTTTATGGTTTCCATTAATTTATACAAATAAAGCCAATAAATGGATATTTTTTACTATAATGTGATTCTCAAGTAATAATTTATTCTTATTACTGCAAATTATTACTAATAACTGCTTAATTATTTTAATATCGCTTTAAAATGACTTTCTTCGACCGATCGATCTTTAAATCAACGCAATTTAACCACATTTTTAAATTGGTTTAAGTTATGCATTTTGGTTCAACTTTTTGGCCGGTAATCTATAATTACAATACAATAATTTCTTATTGAATATGAAGTAATTGTTGTTGCGTTTAATCCGTTGGGATTAGTCGTTAGGTTCTTATAAAATAAATAATGATTGAAAGAAATGCCAAACAATTTCATAACATTTTTGAAATAATATTTATTTTAATAATTATCCGAAATAATTGGTCAGATATATGAAAACTATTACATTTATTACTAGTTTTTAAAATGTCTTTTTAGATAAACATTTAACAATTGTATAGATGTAACACAAAAATAGGATCAGATATTAAATGATTATAATTTGTTTAAAATGCGAAATAATTTGTGATAAATTCTTCAATTGTTTTCGTCTTTGTTTTTTGTGTTAAAATACCTCTTTTTGTCGATTAATATCTAATAATAAGTTAATGATAACTATATTGAGAGGCGATCACAGGCTTCAATAATTTGGTGATGAATACGATTTTCAATTTAACAATAAATTTACCGTAAACTTCCCGAAACAGGGATTAAATACAATATCTAATTATGTCATTAAAGAAAATTACAATAATGTTTTTACACTTAAATTAAATACAATATATAATTTGTTTACTAATCTTATTGTCTCTCGTTTAAAAAAAAATAATTCAATTGAAAAGTAAATTTTCAAAAAACCAAATGAATTGTTTCAAAGTTTGGATTTCATTTGATTTTCACCCCTTTTGTAACCCTTTCTTCAATATTTGGTATATTTTAATGAAACAAATATACCAAAGAAATGGGACGAAGAAAATAAGGATTGGGTCGGGAATAGTGTTAAGGCTTTCGATGATTTGTGGTGAGGATTGGGTGCGAAAGCAAACAATAGTTTATCCAAATGTTTGGGAAAGTTGTATAAAAAATAAATGATTGATTGGGAAAAGCGAGAGACGGGATGAGAGCTGGAGATGAAGGGATGGGGTGTTTGGGATATTTTGCGGTCGATATAATGAGATAATCTGATGTTCTGTACAATCAGTAAATGTGTTTTTGATATAACTGTCCGATTTGTAACTGTAGGTGCTTTTATGTAACTATAAGTATACATACAATAACACCAGCGATTGTTACACAATATATATATAATATATAGAAAAAGGGAATTTACAAGTTGTGAGAGGAAGACTTCAAGTATAAGATTTGATAATAACTATATGTTTAACTGTATATATAATATGTATATATTTATAAGTCATATATAAGATTCTTATGTATAGAATGTACAATGTTTTGTATTTTTTGATACTTAATAGAAAAACCCAATTAATGTATAATCAATAGAATATTTAAAATTATTTCAAAACTAAACACTAATTGCTTTTTCAGTTTATATGAACATTAAAATCAATGGATTATAAGTAGAAATCTGCATAAATATGAGAGAATATAAATAAATGATTAAATAATGGCTATTGAGAGAGAGAATGTAAAACACATTTAAGTATATTTATAAATACAATCGTGAGATACAAATACAGAGAGAATTTCGCTTTTAGTTTTGTTTCAAATCGTTTCAGTCGTCTCCACAGTTAACAAACAGTTTAAATCTAAATAACAATTAAATTTACACAATAGTTATCGTCGGCTGCACTTCGAAGGGCTTCGTTAGCTTTATGTTTTCATTTGAATCAATGTTTTAGTTGTATTTTTTGTTTAAACAAATTTTTACTAAAACTTTATAAATTGATTCAGTTTTGAATAAAACATTTAAATAATTAAATTTGTATTGTTTTCAAAAAAAATTGAGTAAAATAGCAACAAAAAACTAATTAAAACTGCTTTCTAGACGTTGAAAAACTGATTGAATTAAATCTATGAATACTTAAATTTGTGCATAAGTTTTGTAAATGAGATCAACAAACAATAGATTACTATTTGATATTAAGATATAACTTATTATATTAATAATAATACAAATTTTAAAGACTTTTATCTCGTTATTTTCCGTTCAAACATACGGTATGATAACAAATGGCTTTCAACTCATTTAATGTCTTTCCAAAAGTCTGAACGCAAAGAATTGATCAAAAAATAAGTGATTGAATGAGACCTTAAGTGGCAGAAGAATAATGTGATGGAGAACTGCCTCCAAATGATGAGCCAGAACTGCCACCAGTGGTCGTGATTTTGGTGCCCAATCGTGAGAGTCGGGGCTCCAGACATAGCGACAACTGATAGAGTTCTTCGTCGGGAAGATGTCTGGATGTGTCCAACAAATAATTGGTCACTTTTGGGTTGTGCTCTATTTTGTACGGCGTTTGCTGGAAGTGACGGATCTCTCGGATTACGTGAGCGATCTATTTATTATAGACACATCATATTAGAGAGAGAGAGAGAGAGAGAGAGAGAGAGAGAGAGGCTTACAATAGGATTCGGGCAATCGATGCGGCTTTTAATGGCAAAATGCAAATTAGATACAACCGGACTGTTATAACCATTTGTTCATTACATACCGAATAAGTTCTCTTAATATTGAGTTTAGTCTCAAACATATCGAAAGCATAGCTTTTAGTATTAACGGGATATTGAATTGTTTTGGAGGAAATCCTATTAAAAGACTTTGCGTGTCTGTCCACTCGATACTCGCAGATATAAACGTCTTCTTCGGTAAACCCTTTGGGTCTTCCCTTACAATATGTACTGAAGTCCAGAACACAACAAATGCCTTTCACTTCGTCGATGGGAACCCATTCAGTGAGCGGCGAACGAAGCACTTCATTGTCAAAGAACCTTCTGGAGGGCTCGTGATATGTCTCACTCGGGCGAAGAAAGTGATGGCCAAACAGTAATTTGTGTCCATTTTCATTGATGGCCAGATTCTGGACGCGAAATATTATGTAATCTGTTCGGCGGTCACCGCCTGAGGGCTCTTTTGGTAATGATTTGCGACTCATATGCTTATCATCTTCTTTCGTGCGGTATATGTAGACACAGTCTCCGGTCTTAATGTGAAGATCATTGGATTGAAGGGTTAAATAATATTTATGTCCGTTTAACTTTCCCGGCGGTGTTTGACTC